GACTATGTGTAGGAAACAACTGGTCACCAGGCATTTTATAGCACAAAGACTAAGCTGCTAAACTGAATAACAATAACAAAAGATTATGCTGCGTAATCTCATACTTTTTCAAGCACTGAGTACTTTGAAAAGCAAGAGAGAAAACTGTTTAGTGTCAGTTTTTTTGTCTTGGGAAACTATGAAGAAGAGCGTGTAGAAGTGTTCCATTTTCCCTATAAATTATTGTTACCTTATGGGTCTGGACACAGAATCTATCGACATTTAAGGAGTCAGAATGCTTTCCTTCTACATCGCGAGTTCCCAACGCTGTTTATAAGCCCGCACGTGTCATGTGATGTTTTGTTTTCTTTTAAGAATAAATTCAGAGACAACAATTGGATCTAGAAACAGCAGTGATGGGCCCCAGGCCTTAATTTCACACGAGATACAGGAGAGATTGTGGGCCGGCCAGGCAGGGCCCGTTACACTTGCGCTTTGTAAATAATTGCCATGTGCTCAGCCCTTTCCAGCGTAGACAGCATGTGCTATTCAGCTAGAGATGTAATCTCCCACAGAGATAAGGAAGAACCGGGCAGCCAAGAGCAATGGAAAGACCAAAAAAGGTGCCTCCTGGTGCTGCCTCTCAGACCAAACACTCAGCTTTGAAGGAGGTTAAGAACATATGGGGGGGGGTGGGGGGCTGGAGCGACAGCACAGCGCTTAGGGCGTTTGCGTTGCACGCGGTCGACCGGGTTCGATTCCCAGCATCCCATAGGGTCCCCTGAGCACCGCCAGGAGTGATTCCTGAGTGCAGAGCCAGGAGGAACCCCTGTGCATCGCCGGGTGTGACCCAAAAAGCAAAGAGAAAAAAAAAGAACATATAGGGCGGGCATGAGGGGCATGTACGCCGCAGGAGGGCCAGAGAAGGCTGGAAAAGACCTCCAGGGGGACCACCAGGCCCAGGTGCATGACCACTTCCCGTTTCCTCCTTGGGTAGATCAGGGACCATCCATCAAGGCAGGAGCTCTGGGAACGTTCAGCGAGGCTCCTCCCAGCGATGACTCTACCCACCCCCACAGCTCAGGATGCGCGAGTCCCCGCATGACCGCGGCACGTGGGGCCAGGGGGCTCACCCAGCGAGGCTTCCTTTTCCTTCTTGCTCCCCCAAACCCCAGCCCGACCTTAGGGAGGTGGCCCCCCGCGCGGGCCTGCGGACAGCGCTCAGGAGAGACTCCGGGGGCGGGGGTCTGCGCGCCGGGATGGCCCGACGAGCCCGGCCAGGAGCCTCACCACCATGGACAGCTCACTGCTGGCCCCGGCGGCACCGAGTGGCCCTTCCCGGAGTCCGCGCGCCCCCTGCGAGGTGGCAGGGACGCGCGGGCCCGTGCCACGTGTGCCACGGCGTCCCCCGCCGGCTTCCCAAGTGCCCCGCAAAGGGCCGCTTTAGGGGAGCGCACGGGCTTTCTGGAACCAAGGCGCGCCCTGGCGCGCACGGCGGTCCCCGGCGGTGCGGCCGCCCTGGACGCGGGAACCCGCCCGGACCGGCCGGAGCGGGCAGGCTGGGAAGCCCCGGGCACGCCCCTGCCGTCCAGCCGCACCCGCAGCGGCGTGAGAAAGGACCGAGCGGGGCGGGGGGCGCCAGGCCGAGGCGGGGACGCGCCGCCACCCACGGGCCGGGCCGGACCCGGGCTGGGGCGGGCGCGGGGACTCCCCTGCCTCCCCTTCGCTCCCCCGCCCCCACGAGGAATTTCTCGTCACCGCCTGCCAGGCCTGATGTCACCTTTGAGTCATGGACGGACCGGGCCGGGGCCGGGCGGGGCGGGCCCCGCGCCCAGCACGCGCGCCCGGGCCCCGTCGTGGGGCTGCGCCGTTGGCGGCGCGTCCTGCAGCCGAGCCCCGGGAGCTGGGCAGGGGCGCGGGGTCCGACCCTGCGGGGCCGCGGGGCGCACGGCCAGCCGCGGCCGCGATCCGGGACGCGCAGAAGCCGTCGGAGCCCGCGTCTCGGAGGGCAGCCCCAGGCGAGCCCGGGCCCCGACCCAACCCACGCCCCTCTGAACCGAGAGCCCCTCGCCCGAGCTGGCCCCGACGGACCCGCGCGGTCATCTGCTGCGGGCTCCGACGTACGCGAGGGTCCCGGCGCCTCTGCCAAGCCTGGCTCCCTGGGCAAGGGTCGCCGGGCACCTAGCGGCTTCCCGCACGGCCTTCCCGGGCCCCGTTTCTGATGAGAGGCCCCGGGAAGGGCGCGCAGGACACCCGGGCGCGAGCTCCGGACCCACAGCCTTGCGGGGTGGGCAGCGAGCTCTGCAGACCTTGCTGCCCCGCGCCCACATGGGCACCCTCTGCGGGGCGGAGGACGCAGTGTCCCTCTCCCTGGAGCCCCGCGCCCAGGCGCCTGCCACCCGGTGACAGCGCGGGTGTGGGGCGGCCCTCCGCGCCAGGTGGCACTGGGAACTCCCCCTGTGGTCTCCGCAAGTCCAGAGCTGCCTGCTAGGCAAGCCAAGAACCAGGCCCAGCCAAGGGCAGGGGCTGGGCGGGGCGGGGGGACAGGGCGCAGGGCTCTCCCCCTCTTCCGTCTGTCCCCTCTCTCCCACCCAGGTGGGAGGACTCTCAGCAAGGTTGACCTTGAACCCTGGAGAACTTTCCTAAAGGCCGGATCTCCTCAAGACCAGCGGGTGTCCTGGGGTCAGACCCGGCTTTCTGCTGGGTCTGGAGGATACTACACATTGTGGGAGGGAGTAAGTGCTGGCAGCCAGATGGGTGAGCACGCCTTTTCCAAGGAGACAACCTTGTGCACCCATGCTGGTCTGTCCAAGCGGCTCCCTGAGGCATCCCCCACCCCCACCCCAGCCCCCACACCCCAAGTTAGCAGTAAAGCCTGTTCCTGGGGAGAACAAGCCTTGAGGGGGCATCCTCAGCTCACTACAAAGCTATGACAGGCCCCCTTTCCTGCTCTGACTTGGGATAGTATCTCCCCCTCCAAGCCCCCTTGCCTCCCCCCTTTTGGGGGGGAGCTACCTGGAGATCAGTTGACAGCCTCCTCCAAGGAAATCTCCGTCCCCACCCCACCCCCCAAGAGCTCAGAACTGCATTCTAATGGGATCACTGATAATTGATGGGGCGTCTCATTATGCAAACCTCCCTGTAAACAAAGTTTGGGGAATAAAGGGGATGCCTTCAGTTCTTTGGGTTCCGCCTTGGTTGGAGCGATAGCTCGATAGCTCCGAGCTACAGATTGGCAAAGGTTAAACCTGGATGCTTTCTGGAGGCAAGATAAGGGGATTCCTGCGCCCAGGTGCAGTTTAAAGGTACTTTCTGTACATTGTCAGCGTGTTGGTTTGCTTGTTTTGTGGACGGAGGAGCAACCCGGGGTGACGGGGAGTCGATGAAGTCGAAGACCCTAAGTGCTCATTTACTCTCTTCTTTTTTTTTGCCTTTTGGGTCACACCCAGCAACGCTCAGGAGTTCCTCCTGGCTCTGCACTCAGCAATGACTCCTGGCGGTGCTTGGGGGACCCTATGGGATGCTGGGAATCGAACCCAGGTCGGATGTGTGCAAAGCAAACGTCCTCCCCGCTGTGCTATCGCTCCAGCCCCAGTTACTCTCTAAACTGCAGGCAGAGTTCGGGGCCAGCCACGCCACCCTGCAGAGCAGCAAACACTGGAGTTCCAGACAGGCTCAGGCTCCTCTGGCCTCTGAGCTAGGCCCTGGGGAGGGAGGTGGAGGACGGGACTCACTCATGGGCCAGGCATGTGTGTAGGTGGGATCACACACTGCACTGAGTCCACATGGAAAAACTTCGGGGCAGAGATGGGCCTGGAGGCCTCTTCCTTGTCGAGGTGCCCTCGCCCCCAGTGAGGCCTGAGCAACCAGCCCGAATGGCTGGCACTGCCCACTCCCAGGCCTGGGCCTGAGGGGGTTTGGGGAGGCTCCCTGGGCCCCGGGAGGGAGTCACATGGACTCAGCATCATCGCGGGGGGCGTGAGGGGGTAGTCAGTGAGATTGGAAACCAGATTGTGATGTCAGAAGCATCCTTTTCAGGAAGGTATATATTGGGGAGAGTTTCCCGGTGACGGGAGAGAGCTCAGCAGAGGGCCAGCTTTCTAATAATCGTCCTTGGCGCGGACAGAGCAGGCGCTGCCGGCAGCCAGTCACCGAGACTTCATTTTCCTTTGGGGAAGAACACACACGGAGACTCTGCGAAGATCTCCCTCCTTTGGCCTGAAGAGCAGAGAAGAGGAAACCAAGGAGAAGGTGAAGTAATAAATTAGGACGGAGTGTGCCACTTCAAGTATAGAAAGACTATTCATTTCCCCCCTGTCTCTATTTTCTCATTTTGTCGAGGAGGGGAAATTCCTTTTAAAAAAAATCTGATAGATGTTTTGCCATTAACATCAGAAAAGTGTGTGGGGAACAAGGAAGGTGGAGGGCGATGGGGTCAGTGTTGTTTCATAGAAGACAAGCAGCATTACTCAAACCTCTCCCCGCTGTCATTCTTTAATTTGCAACGTGCTCAGAAGTACGCTGAATTTATTCACAGCACCTGTGTGATTTCAGGTTTCCAACCTGATTTTTATTTTAATCTTTCATTGGGAGAGGGCTGACGTTTGAAAGCCTGGGCATTTTGGAACTTAGTTAAGTACTTTTTTTTTTATCGTGGAAGCAAATATTATCATTTTAATGTCAAACAACTTGCAAGTATCAAACGGTTCATTTGTACTTCACTTTTATACGGCCTCCCCCCCCCCCCACCCCCAACCCCCAGATCAAACGATTACATTAAGGCTCGTTTTGAAAAGAATTTATTCTAAATCAAAAAGTGTAAAGAGGTTCAAAGGTTGACACTTCTGCACGCTGCTGAATTGTCTTTCATGCCATGCAAACAGGTTTAACAGTTAGAAACCCTTAAACGTTCAAGGGAAGTTGTGGAAATTCCCAGAGCTTTTTTTTTCCCCCCCAAGTGGGCGGGAGCCAAGTTTTTTAAGTCGGGAGTTTAAAGTAATCAAATGAGGGAGATAGGCGCTTGTGAGCAGGGGTGACCCCAAAGCCCGCGGAGCTGCAGAGGGTGGGTGCCAGGCTGCCCGCCGGGAGCTGGGGGGGACGCGAGGCCGGGCACGCGGGGGTCGGGGCGAAGGCGCGGGCGCACGCACCTTGGCAGGGAGCGCGCAGCCCCGGCCAGGGAGCCCGGCGGGCGTGATAAAGGCCAGGCGCCCTGGCGCAGCCCGGGGGAGTGATGAAGCCCAGCGGGAGGAGTGTCCGCTGGGGCAGGACAAACACCCCGGGAGCGCGGCGACCCGCGTCCATCCCCACAGACCGGCCGGCGGGGCGCGGAACCGGGGCTGGCGCCCTCCCCTGCCTCCCCGCCGCTGCCCAGCGAGTCCCCGCTGGCCAGCGCGCTCTTCCGGGGCCGGGCCGCGGGGCCGCCGGCCGTCCGCTGAGCCCGGCGCAGAAGCCACCCGGAGGGTCACCCCAGACTCCGTAACGGGGGGCTGGGGGCGGGGCGGGTGGGGGCGGCCGCTGAGTCTGGTCCGAGGCCCGGGCGGGGGCCGCGGGGCGCGAAGGCCTGCGGGAGGGTCCGTACCCCCTGGGTTCTGGGGGTCTCCTGGAGTGGGGCGGGGGTCTCGGCGGGCTCCTGGTGTCCCCGGGGACCGAGGCCGCCGGACTCGCCACCTGGAGCTGCGTCACCCCCTCCAGCCCCTCCGCGCGTCTGCGCTCCCCACCGCGCCCTCGGCGGGCCGGCGAGGGAGGGGGTCGCCCCGCGGGCTGCGCTGCGACCCGGGGTCTCCCTGAAAATCGCCTCCGGCTCGGGGGCCGCCGCCGCCGCCGCCGCCTCGGGGTGCGTCCGCCCGCGCGCCCGGCGGGGACCCGGGGACGGGCTGCCCGGGGCGGTCCTCACGCCCCCGGAGCCCTCGGCGCCGCCGCGCCGGGCCGGGCCCGGCTGGGCTGGGCGGGCGCTGGGGAGGGGTGGGGGGACGTGGCCGGCTGCGCCCCTCACCCCGGGGCCCCGTCGCCGCCCCGGCCCCCGCCCCCCGCGCCCCGGCCGGCCCGCGCGCGCTGCTCGGGCGCCACCTCTTTGCGACTCGCTCACTTCCCCGGCAGGTTCGCCCCGAGCGTGTGAACCTCGGCGCGGCGGCTCGCGGCTCGCTCCAACCTGCGCCCCGGCCGGCCCGTCCCGGCGCCCCTGCAGCCCGGGGGCAGCGCCCGGCCGGCCGGCCCCACGCGCGCGGGACGCCCCCCGCGCACCCATGCGCCCCTGAAGCGCGCGCGGCCGGGAAGCGCCTCGGCGTCGGGACTTTTGTTTCCTGCCCGTCCCTGCGCTCAACGCCCGTCCCCTCCCCCGAGCTGGGTCCTTTTCTGCCCGTGCGGTTTGGAAAAGGCACAGCTGGAGCGGCCGGTTCCTCGCTAAGTGAGTACCGAGAGGCGCCAGGGGAAAGTTTTTTTGCTCTCTCCCTCGGTCCCCGCTCGGCAGCCCGCGCGGGGCGGCCAGATGCCCGGGCGCGGGCGGCGGCGATGCCGGGGCGCACGGGGCTGCTGCCCGCGCTCACGCCGCGGACCCCCTGTGCTCTCTCCCGCAGGCCCCCCGAGCGAGAGCGGGACGATGCTGCGGCGCCTGGTGCCCCGGTGGAGCGTCCTGGTGTTCCTGCTGAGCTACTCCGTGCCCTCCTGCGGGCGCTCGGTGGAGGAGCTCGGCCGCCGGCTGTAAGTGTCCCGGGCCGCCGGAGGCCCCGGCTGGCTGGCTGGGGGTGGGGACCGGGGCCGTCGCGGGGCGGGGGCGCCCGGCCGGGTACCTGCCCGGGCCGGCGAGCCCCGCGCGCCCCCGGGGCCGAGCCGCCACGCGCGGGGGAGGCCGGCGGGAGACGCGGGAGCCGAGTCTTGGCAGAGGGAGCGGCGCGGTGCACCGCCCGGAGCCGCCGCGCCCGGGGAAAGGACGAGGGAAAGTTACTCCCGGGTGCCCGGGAGGATGGAAGCCGCCGCTCGCCCACGGCCTGCCGGCTGGAAGCCCGCGAGGGACCCCGGGCGCGTGTCCCGGGACAGGGTGCGGGTGCGCGCGGGTGTGCGTGTGCGTGTGTGAGCGTGAAGCGGTCTTGCGCCTGACGTTAGTGGCATCGACAAGCCTATGAAGCGGGACATTACATAATGAAGGCATATTATATAATAAAGGAGCAAGGACTTGGCCAGGCCCAGGTCTATCCCGAGTATCGATCCGGCCGGCCGGGGAGGCAGGGAGCGAGGGCTCTGGTGCAGAGCCGCCGGCGGAGGGAGGGCTGACTGGTGTGCGTCGGAGAACTTGTCATTCTGTGTTGTCCTGTGGTGACACTCTCAGGGGTAACTTTGCCATGGATGCAGCGGTGGGTCCCATCGCTTTGGCCCTTGAGAAGTTGGCAGTTGGCAGCCTGGTTCTGTCCTGGGCTCTGGGGCTCCCAGCTGTGGGCTCCTCCGCTCAGGACGGGGTGGGGGTCGCTGGCGAAGGAGAGGAGGAAGAACTTTGACACTGATCATCAAAATGGCAGTCTCTGATAGCCAGGCAGGTCTGTGGTGCCTCTTTGTAAATCCCCGAGGGTGTACAAAAGGCAACTGTTTTATAGGTGCCCTTGGTCTATTATTATTAGAGCAGAAAATCCTTAAACGAAATTACTTAGGACTTGTCTGAACCTTGGCACAAAATGAAAATCTACTGTGAATCTCCTAAGGCGAATTGTGTAGAACATTGTACTGACGATAAAGCTGCATTGTATTCTTCAACCCGGCCTTTTGCTAACGTAGCTCTGAAAATTATCTTCAGACTTCTCTTTCTTGTTCACTTGGAGACCTGTATTAAATTCAATTACTTAAAGCCCATACATAAATATCGATGAAGACTAAATCATTAGAGGCATGCTTAAATACTGTATTTATTTGGCTAAGCAGTACTGTCTTGGAACACAGCCACCTTGTTTCTTTAAAGTTGCTTAAGAAATACCTGTTTTCTCTTCCGAGAAACAATAAATGGACCGTGATTTCATCCACAGGTTAAGGCATCAACCTAGAACTAAGCCGTCCTAAAGGCTATTTTTAACTCTTTCTTAGTTGCACCTTGCAAACACACATCAGAATTCATTTAGCAGCCAGACACTCTGTTACAGTTTTGTTTGTGGGTGAAATACAATATTGCAGTTAAACACTCACACTCAGCAGACAGTTATAAAGCTACCACAGAACATTCTTATTGCAAATGGCTAACAGACCCTCCGATGACAGCCTGGCTCTTCAGAGAGGCTGGAATCATCAGAAGATGAAGATGTTTTATCAAATTATTAACAGCCAAGTGGAGTTTAAAAAACAAGTCATTATTTTGGCACTGCTGCCAAGTAACAGTAAGTTTTGTACGCTAGACAAAACAGCAGTTTACTATTACGCTAAATCATCCTAGTTTCTTGAAAGAAATTTTGACACGCACTCAAATCATATTACTCTGCAATTACTTCACACCGAGTCAGGGAAACTTAGATGTTTATTCTTTTGTGTGTGTTTGTTTTGGGGGCCCCACCCAGCAGCACTCAGAGATCACCCCTGGAGCAGCTCAGGGTGATGCCAGGGATCGAACCAGGGTCAGCCACATGTAAAAGCAAGTGCCTCGGCCCTGCCCTCTCTCTCCTGCCCAGAAGTTTTACTTTGAAAGGGAAAGAAGTTACTCCAGCAAAAACACCTCCTCGGCCAGACAAAGGAAGCGATTTTAAGTCTTGTATCTCCGGGAGTCCAAAAGACTTTCATGATTAGGGCTGGAGTAAAAGTTCAGGGAGGTTGGAGAGCGAGGTCCCGGGGCTCCCAGACCAGCACCCTTGGGGCAGGTGACCCCTGGTGTGTGTGAGGGAGTCAGAACCGGCAGTTTGAGAGAACTTCAACATCACGGGCGGGTTTGCCGGGGAGCCAGGCTGGGTCCCTTCCACTTAATGAAAAGCATAACTTGTGACTGAGTCACTGGGCTGGAAGGCGCTGCCGTGACTCATCCCGGCTGAACACCCTAACCCTGACTGCACCGTGGACCAGAGCGCCCCCCTCCCTCTCGCGGCCCGAGTCCTGCCACCGCCGCCTGCCGGAGACCGACTTTCCGTCATCTGCCCATGTTCCTTGAGAGCGCCCTAGAAACCCAATCTTCTTCCCTGAAAAGCCCCTGCAGAGAGACTTTGCTGGAAGGCCAACGGCGCCATTTGGCCTGAGTTCAGCCTGGCCCGCGTTCAGCCTCAGCCCGTAGCTTTTGCCGTTTCGACTGTCTTGCCATGGTCCAGGGAGACCACAAACGCACCGTTCTCACTTTTCCCGTGACAGAGTTTTTGGTGGCAACACACACCGTGTGAAGCGTGCCACCCTGTCACCGGGACAGCAGGTGCGTCACTGGTCATTAGCAATGCCCACTTGGCCGCAACGCCGTCCTGTGGAGACTGCCAAGCCCGTGTCCCAGCCGCCCTGCGGTGTGAGGGCATGGCCTGACCTGGGGCCTCGAGTTTGCTCCTCCTGTCCCGCTAGACTTGCTCTGATTTGCGTCTTCCTTTGGAAAGAGCTCGACCCTCTGCGGCTCTGACCCTCCTGGCCGGTGACGGAGCTGTCAGCTGTCATTCTTTCCCTGACCCTTGTGGCAGCAGCTCACGGCAAAATGCATTTGAGTCCCCCGGGTTTGAAAGGCAAACATCCTTAGAACACAAGGCAGGTGAGCCAACGGTTTTGCATTTAGCGCCTAGGCAAACCCGCACCTTCCGCTAGCCAGCGAGGGACACTCTGCCCCTGGTGATGTCCCATTTTCGCCGGCCGGTGCTGGCCGTAGAGAGGGCAGGACAGCGGGACGACTCCATTTCCCACGAACCACAGCCGGGGAAGCTCTGAGCTCCGTGACTCACCGGGACAGGCCTGCAGTGCTAGGGCCTGCTTGGAACAGGCCCCTGGGAGTTTGGGCTTCAGGCTGAGTTGTACATCCGGGGAGCAATGCAGATGGGGGTGTCATTGGAATGGAGGACGACATTAAAACTCCTGGTATTCCAAATGATGCCACTTAAAAACCTTCAAATGGGACATTTTTCTCCAGGAGTCAATGGCGATAGGTAGGAAATCTGTCACTCTAGCAGCCCGGCCTTCGAAAATATTATTAGACGATACAGCTATATTGCTCGGAAGCCTCAACTTTCTAGATGATGAAGAATTTCCCAGAGCCCCTGCCGTGACCACCAAGTGAGCGAAGTTTAACCTGGTCACATGTGGCACCTCGGGAAAGGAAGAGTGCCCCATTTCAGCCGGGCCCCTGTGGAATTCCTCTCCACACCGTCATGTCTTTCTGGAAGGAGCCGCACGGCTTCACGTCGACTCGGCTGGGCCGAGAGGGCTGGCATCCTGGCTCTGCAGGCCAAGGGCGAAGACGGGGCTCACACTTGACTCACCGTGCAGCTAGACAAGCTCTCACTCCCCAGGGGGCGCCCGAACTTGAAGAACCCGGTTTTCTCATCTTGGGGGGTGGAAAGGGACTTGTGGAGGCGGTTGACTTGAGCTTCAAGGCAGGCGAGAACTTGCTGTCCATTCGCACCTTGTCGACTCTTTGTGTCCACAGGAGACAGGGCTGGGCACAGGGGTGGGGTGGGGACCGCACTGCCCCTGAGGACAGCGCCAGGCCGTGACTGTTCAGTCGTGTCGTTTCTCCAAGGCCGTGAACTCCGCCCCAGAGCAGGCCTGCAGGGACCCACGTCCATCCGTCCATCCGTCGTCGGGTGTTGGGGGAAGTCAGGCCTCAGCGGGGGGGGGGGGGGGGGGGGGGTCGCTCGTTGAACCGCCAGCTGTGCTTGTGTTCACACCTCCCTTTCCCGCATAGCTCTGTTCCTGAGCCCGAGTCTCATTCACCTGGGCCACACCCCAGGCCCGCACTGCAGGGACAGGCAGACATCGGGCCACTGAGTCCAGTGCTGGGAGCATGGGGATTGAGGGAAGCCGGGTGAGGCAAGCCAGAGCCCCTGAGGTAGGGCCTGGCCCTTCCTTGCAGTGGCCCATGCGCACACAACGGTCTAGAGGAGGCAAAGGATCCGTGACGGCCGGGGGGCCACCCTGATGGCCGGGGGCAGGGGAGTCGCTCACGGCGGCGTGCGTCTGTTTTCATGATACAATTGCTCTCCACTGACGGGCGCTTCCTGTTTGCTTCTAGAAATGTTTTTAGGATAAGGAAAACAAATTAGAAAGCTGGCTTTCCCAATTAAAGATTAATAAGGAGAATGCCCTCTGATCCTAAAATAAAAAAAAAAAGGAAAGAAAAAAGGCCGGGGAAACATAGAAGAAATAGAATGTTCTCACTGAAGTGAGGCCCACAAAGAGACGCATTTTGAACAGACCACCCAGGGCTCGCCAGGAACTGCTGCTGAGCTGAGGAGCTCGGCCCTGGGCCTGCAGCTGGGACTCTGGCAGCTCGGGCTGGGACACAGTGACAGAGTGCCCAGACAGACTTCTCCCAGCTGCCGCCTTCAGCCATGCTTGCTTTTACTCTTGCTGCTCTTTGAGATACAATATTATTATTTTCTTACCTCGTGGGAAGGGGGGCGTTTCGGTCCGCCCTTCACGCCCTACCGAGGCCACCAGTTGCCCCCCACGAGCGGCTCTCCAGCACGGCCACGACTCCAGAGCACAGAAACCAATTTCTTAACTATCTGACTTTCAGTAGAAATACTTCCAGGGTCAATAAGTAAAATAGCAGAAATCCAAAACCAACATATAATTCTTGAACCCAGCTGTAGAAAGCAAATCACTTCACAATGCTTTTTCAGCATGTCTGATTTGGGGGGGGGGGCGGGGTAAACTCTAAATAATAGTGGTGAATCTTTTATTGAAACAATGAATCTAATCAAAGCAGATAGAGTGTTAACTAGAATTCATCTGCCCCACAGGGACGGGGAGGGGTGGGGGGTGGGGTTTTATTGGGGTTCTTCATGGTAAAAAATAAGTATTGGTAAAGGGAAATGTGTTTGATATTTGCATGACTGAGACCTAAACCGGAAAGCTTTGTAACCTTATTATTATTTTTATTTTCTTAACAAGAAACAGCGTGTGCATGTGTGTGTGTGTGTGTGTGTGTGTGTGTGTGGTGTGTGTAGAGTGGTGTGTGTGTGCGTGTGTGTGGAATCAGCCTTTAATACTGAGAATCTCAATCCCAACTTGAGAAAGGAACATAGAAGTAGCTGAATCACACCGATTCCTTGGCCCAGGGAACAGGCCCAGGGGCCCCAGGAGGTCCTTGATGCCACCGTGGTCACACCCCTGGTCAGGCCAGGGCTCTGTGCACACTCCAGGCCTCTCTTCCCTTCCCCTTCCCCTCTGGCCCTTCCAGCCGGAGCCCCGGGTGGGCGGTCAGGAAAAGGAAGGAGCTTTGCAGGCCTGTGGGTCCCTCCCTACCCTGGTCGCGTCTCTGACTTTCCCTCTCCTGTCCTTTCACCCGGAAGCAAACGAGCAGTGTCGGAGCACCAGCTCATGCACGACAAGGGCAAGACCATCGAGGACATGCGGCGCCGCATCTTCCTGCACAATCTCATCTCCGAGATCCACACGGCCGAGATCAGAACTACCTCTGCAGTCTCCCCCAACTCCAAGCCCGCCCCCAACAACAAGCACCTCGCCCTGCGCTACTCGATGGACGAGGAAGGCCGCCACCTCACTCAGGAGACCAACAAGGTGGAGCAGCCTCTGAAGACCGCCCGGATGAAGAAGAAGGGCAAGTTGGGCAAGCGCAGGGAGCAGGAGAAGCGGCGGCGGCGGACACGCGCGGCCTGGACCACCCCCGCGGCCGGCAGCGGGCTGCCGGGCCACCGCCCAGCTGACGGGGACACCTTGGCCTCGCCGAGGAAGCCCCACTCACGGTAACTGGCTGAGGAGGGTCTCACGCCTTCACCCTGGCCTCGGCCGCAGCCTTTCTCGATGCCTGCGCTTTCTGCTCTTAGCAACCGCTCCAACTTGCCGGATCGGGCTCCTGACCACGTTGCCAGCCTTGCAGCACCCCTACACACACACACACACACACACACACACACACACACACACACACACACGGGCTGGCGGATGGCAGAGCCCTTCTAACCTCTGTGTGTGTATGGCCTCCCAACACACATGATCTTTCAGTTCCAATCAGTCTTTCCATTCCCCAGCCAAGAATCAGAAGCTAGTGACCTCTGTCCAGTGACCTCGGTCACTGGCCGAGCAGTCTCGGGGCCCTTGCTCTCCCACCTTAGCAAACCTCTTGATCATTGCCTGTTCTTCATTGACGTTTGCTTCAGGGGGATAAGGAATGGCTTTGCTAACATCTCCCACGAGACAGTCTCCGGTCATAAGCACTTTGGAGCTAGACATATTCTCAACCTTTTGTGTCAATTAATGAGCACTTTCAAGCACACTTCATTTTTTTTTTTAGTTGCTTATTTATTTTGGGTTTTTGGACCACACTCAGTGACACTTAGGGGTTACTCTTTGCTCTATGCTAGGGATTACTTCGAGTGGAACTCAGGAGACCATATGTGATGCCAAGGGTCAGACTGGGGTCAGCTGCATTCGGACCACCTCCTTAACCCTTGTGCTGTATCTCCCGTCTTCAGACACACTGGAAATGAACTTAAACTCTGATTTCAGTCAATTCATGAAGAACACCACCATGGCATGTGGCAGCTTAGAGAGCGAGTCGATTTTCTCTTATTTCTCTTTGTCCAGTGGCATGATGAGATCAGTTGGGGTGGGAAGCATTGCTGGAGGAATAACAAAGCATCACATTTCTGTGGCTTGTTCTCCGTAGCTCACCGATGCAGGACAGGATAACATTAACAGATTTGGAGGCAGATACCTTAGCGTTCAATTGTTGAGTCTGAGCAAAAGTTCAGATAACTGTATGTCTTTCTGAGATTCACTTGCTTCTCTATGAAACCAAGATAATATTTGTAGCAACCTCATAGGGTTGGTGATTATTAAATGAGATTCTGCAGGCTAAAATTTTGTCTTGTAGCAGACAATAAATTGCAATATATTGTTTCAGTGGTTTTGATGGATATAGACATCCATCTGTCCAGCCATACAACAATCCGTTCACCCAGCATGCATCCACTCATCCATCAATCTATCATTTCATTCAACCATCCATCTAACTATCCATCCTTCTATCCAATCATCCATCCATCCATTCAACCATCCATCCACCCATCCAACCATCCATCCGCCCATCCTTCTACCCAACCATCCATCTAACAAGCCATTCACCCATTCCCACCATAAAATGACCTATCCATAAAGCCACCAATCTATCCTTCCACCCGACCATCCATTCATCTATCCTTTATCCTTCTAACCAACCATCTATCCACCCACCCACTTACCCACCTATCCATCCATCCACCCACCCACCCACCCATCCATCCATCCATCCATCCATCCATCCATCCATCATATCCATCTATCCATCCATCCATTCATTTTCTTTTCTGTGACAAAAAAAATTTCAAACTATTAATCTTATTCTTTAAAATAGAAATAGACTTGGGGCTGGAGAGATAGCACAGCGGGTAGGGCATTTGCCTTGCACGCGGCTGACCCGGGTTCGATTCCCAGCATCCCATGTGGTTCCCTGAGCACCGCTAGGAGTAACTCCTGAGTGCAGAGCCAGGAGTAACCCCTGTGCATCGCCAGGTGTGACCCAAAAAGCAAAAGAAAAATTTAAAAATTTAAAAAAAAATAAAATAGAAATAGACTCCGTGGTTACAGGGACCACCTGAGGGGCCCGGAGCAGGGCTAGGGCCCTGCGGCTGGAGCCCTTTCTTTCACAAGACACAGACCACGCTGTGCCCCAGCAGCTTCTTGGTCCTGGCATCTCCACTGAGATCTTTTTGTATTTCACTTTTCAGCAAAGCGCTTCTGTGGGGTTTGGATGAGAGAGAGAACCAGCTCGAGCAGGTGTCTTACGCAGCTAGGATATAATTATGCCCAGTTACTCTCCCTGGGCTCTCCCCTGATAAGACAGGATTACAGGGGTTTTGCAAAGAGAGTTGAAACCCATTTACCCACCACCTTCTCACTGAGCTAAACTGACAGAGTCCCTCATTAAATGACATAGAAGAGGGTCACTCTATTTGGATACTAGTGCACCTTGAGTGGCATAGAGAAATCTTTAGCATAGTGAATGGCCTCATCTGCAGATATCCCAGAATCTACAAGGAGTAAGAAACCTCATAAATCGTGGCTCACAGGCACATATGCCCAGTCTACTGAAGGTTTGATCCTAACCCTACGCATTATGGACTCGATTGCCAGAACTTATTTTATTCACTCTTCCTGGGTGTGGATTAAGAGAACATTGAGTGACATTTGATAGGTTAAAAGCTTGTCGGATAGCAAACACTCAAAAATTACAGCTTTTAAGCCAGAGCACTAGAACAGCGGGTAGGGAGTTTGCCTTGCACGTGTTGATCCAGGTTCAATCCGCTGCACCCTATATGGTCCTTCAAACCTGCCAGGAGTGATCTCTGAATGCAGAGCCAGGAGTAAAACACTGAGTGTGACCAAAAATACAAACAAAAAAAATTATGATGTTCTGTTGTTTGGCGCTTTTTGATCTAGTTCTGACTGTGCTATCTCTCCATCTGCTATAGCTCAGACAGCCCACAATATAGCATGTGTATAAATAACATAAACAAGATATTATATGGATATATAAGTGACAAGAATTAGTATAAATGCGTTTTAATCAATTTGATTCATTTAAAATTTGCACTCCCTGGAAGTAGCTGGAGAAATTAGGACCATCACTCATCAGTTCTCATTCCCCAAACAATCCTTAATTTAAAGGAGAATTAGTGAAATGAAGTGGTGACCCAATCAAACCCTGGCCTGGCCTGGAAGACAGAGAACATTCTGCTTCCTCTCTGTCCCCTGGCTGTGAGGGACAGTTGTAGGACAGGGGTTGGCATTCTCCCAGTGCAACTCAAAGAGGTTCGGGGGGAGGGGGTAATTAGGAGCAGATTGGTGAGAACATAAATACTATGCAAATTCTATAATCCAAATAGAATTTTTCTAGAATACCTGCTTTAGCATCTCTGAGCAGCCAACATTGTCCTAAATCCTTTCTTCAGTTTCTTTATATCATAAGTAACTTGAGAGTTCTGATGAGAAGCATCTGTGCAGCAGTTCTGAAAAGAAGGGTCTGAACTCAACCTGTTTATCTGTCTCAACCATTCAGAAGGGCATACAGAGCTTTGAATTTTGAAAATTGCATTTTGAGATTTTTGACGTTGCAAATAAGATATCCAACTACTCTAGGACTCATGGAATTAAGATCATATATTTTGCCTTAGTCAATAGTAGCTTTAAAATAGTTGAAAAGTTTTCCAGGATTCAAGAACTGGGACTCTAATTAAAGTCCATATAGTCATACACATGTATATCACATACACACACATACACACATATACACATACATAAATACACACATACATACACACATACACATATACATACACACACACATGCACACATATACACAGACATACACACACATACACACATATGCTTTTAGGTCTTGTTCTATGTTTTACTTGGAAATACAAGTAAGACGCCTTTGTTAAAAGTGACGCAGAGGGAAGGATGGCTGGCTACGTGCCTGTGCCAGGCAAAATATACTGAAGAGATCTCCCTGCTCTTTATTCCTTTCCTCTCTCTTCCCTCCTAAGGACAGGATGGTGCGATATACTATTCACTTCCACCTTGCTTGAGTTTCTTTCTTAAATTCAAATACATTAACACATCTGAATACAAAAACAGCTCAAAATCAGTGTTGCTCATGCATTATTGCGTCCGGCAGTCACTTTGGGGATTTATTCATTACACTAATCTACATCCACACACTGGTTAGAATTGTTTTATTAATCTTTGGAGAAATCTGGAGAGAGAGTGCAGGTCTTCTAGATAAAATCCCCAGCACTGTATGTACACGGTTCACTGAGCCCTGCCGAGAGTGATCCCTGAGCACAGAGCCCGGAGTAAGGAATGGACCCAAAGCAAAAAGGATAATAATCCACTTTTTGGTGCAGTGAGCACCTATTTTCTTATTCCAGCCTAAACTCTTGAGGAGATGGATTCCTGAATGACAATAAGGTTCTCTAAATTCTGTACTCGATTTTCTCCCCTAAAATCCCTCAAGTGTCAAGAATTTTTCTTTCCTGGCTCTCACGCATGGCCAGCACAGCTCATGAAACTGCCCACAGACTCTGACTGTTCGTGGAAAGGCCCAGCAATCCGATTCCCTCCGACAAGGGTTTCCTTAGAAACCTACAGGCGTTCGCTGAAGTAGACCACACAGAGAGAAGAAAACGGAGGAAAGCAGAGAAAAATGCTGTTAGCTCAACTTAAAATATTGTCATCCGAGGGTGTAGGCATGGAAAAGGTGTACCCCTGGGTACAGGAACAACACAGAGCTGTAAAATACTGGGTTTTGTACGTTTGGTCCTTGGCCTCTGGCTTAGAATAGCTTCCCACGTCTCTGACATAGGGCCCTTTCGAAACAGAACCAGAATAAGGAGAGACAAATAATCCTCTTAGCTTAGCTACAAAAACTAGAATCCGGTCATCGTGGTATCCCCGGTCCTGGAGGGCAGTTAAAGGCAAGGCAGGTGTCACCGAGCCGTCAACCCAAAGCGCTCGATGGAATCACGTCTTTCCAACATCGGCCGAGCACCTACTTCCCCTCACCACACTCACCAAATTAGGCAGTCTTGAAAAATCCTCCAAGTATCCACCTTGTTCCAGCAGTGTGATCACAGTTGCATCACACCCATTGGTTGGTGGGGTTCAAACTCGGCTGTTAGCACAGGTAAAAAGGTTCAGGAGA